TCTGACTTTTCCAGATAGATTGTATGCTCTGTGGGGCACAGACCTACCTCTATGTTTGTACAGGTCAGCATGACTCAAGCAGGTCAGCATGATCATCAGATACAGCATTAGAAGAMACAAAGAATAATTAGTTGACTGTAAGTGTTTGCAATAGCTTAGATCTATTCACTCTTCGGAATTATCTTAGAAAAGCCACGGAGAAAATCCATGTTCTAATAAAAAAGGGATAAAAAATATAGACTCCAGCAGCTCTGGATAAAATGCACATAAATCATATTTGCTTCCAAATAGAACTTGCCAAGACTTGGCCTTGCCAAAAGGTCACATTTCAGCGACTTTGGTTGCCAAAATATTTCAAGAGATACTGACTATATTCTCATAGAATTTACTCCAGATAAGAAAGGAATAAATTTCATCTCTAAACATGTTAGTAGAACTTGAGTAATAAAAATGATTATATTGCATGAATAGACAAGAACATCACTCAGTCCTTAATTTGATGGTATTAGTATTATTAGCTTATTTTATTTTATTTGCATTCTCTATGCAATCTCAATGTCTACACACCCCGATTCCAGAGTGCTGAGCACAAAAGAACACTGATTACAAGTTTTTCTCAGAAAGACATAAAGCAATGAGACTGCCTGTGAATGGCCAGTCTTGCACCATCATATTCCTTAGTCAGTGTAAATTGCCAGAGCATTATGACTATTCATACTAGTTTGGTTTCAACCCAAAACTAAACCCTAGTTTYTTGAGAGCTTTTACTTTCCTGCTCACCATGCTCCTATGAAAATGTGACAGGCAGAGAATATTTGCAGGATCAGAGCCCAAATTATTTAGCTTCCCAATCTTTTAATTCTATGAAAGAAAGAGCAGGAAAGGAGGGATTGCCAATATGCTGAACGGCTTTTATATATTCTTAGACAATATCAAGCTAAAAGAGAAATATTTTTCACAACCAACATTTTAAATTTTCTTTCATTGAGAACATTTCACATTCATGCAAGAAAAAGAAGACCAGTAAAATGGGTGGATGTATTGGACAAAGGACATAAATATACAAACATCTCCTGAATAGAAGTTAATACCTTTTAAATAATTTAATTCAGCAGTTTATAAAGGAAAATGTGGACAAAAAATAAGTCTATCTTGCAGCTCAAACACAGACATGGAAATCAAATGATAAATACTATATTTATAACTATTTACAATGTCATGTGTATTCTTACTCCTGAACAGCTAATTAACACTTTCCCACCTAATTGACTAGTTTTTCTCTCTTCTTAAAATGAGAGAATGAACTGCTGCCTTTTTTTCTAGGCTTTTGCTGTTACCATCCTCTTCTAACAGGAGAAAACATTCTTTACATTTGTAAAGGTTTCAGATTTATCTTGCTAGATCTCATTTTTCTGATATGAGATGGAGTCAAATACACAGAAAAAGAGTTGTCTTTAATGAGAAAATAATGTTAGCAATAGCTGAGCTATTATTCTTAATAATATTAAGACAGCTAAGGTCAGTTATTTTTTTCTTTTTTGTCTTGCATTTGTGCTGAACCTGATGTTGTTCTTATTGCATTACAGATTGGGCAAAACAAATAACTGAAAAAATCTGGTTTTCCTGGGCCTGCARGATTTTCATTCTTCATCTGGGAATAAGAATAATATTGTAGCTGGGTACAGTTTAAATGAACAAAGTTTAGCACTGTCCGGAGCCCCATTGGTGGGAAGAGTAAGCATAAAAAATTAAACCGTGCTCTACAAAATAAATGAAAAGACTGAATAGAAGAATTGAAGAAATAAGGCATGACTCCCTCCTCAACTTCATAAATAACCTCAGTGATATTACAGGATGGGGAGGAAGCTCAGGGTCACTGGGAGGGAGAAAGGGAAAAGCGGTTTACTGAAGGAATTGTGTTATGAGGGAATACTCAATGCATATAGTAAAAATAGTTTTTGTTAAAGCTGTTGCTGACAGAAGCTTGTAAATCAAAGTACTGTGAGAGAGCTCTTAGCCAAGAACATATTTTCTGTACTGTTCTAAAACAAGATCAAAGCACATAAACAAACACAGTTTGGGGGGTTGTGTTGTGGTTGCATCTAGGCTACCAGCACTTTTTCTTGTAAATCAGGTACTCAGAAAGTGATTGTTTGAAAAAGAAAGCACATAAAAAAAGTCCAAGTAAAAATCTCTCTGAAAAACATTCAATTTACATAACAGCAGCAGAAACAGCAAAAGTGCATTTCCCATATTCTGCAAAAGAATGCCCATTTTTATGGTCAGTGTCTAAAATAATTCTAAAAGGAAAAAAAATAACTTCCTAAACAGCACAAGACATTGCTACTGTAATAATACAGTAGGCTGAAACCTCTGAAAAGTCAACCTCAACTTGATGATTTGCTTAAAAGAAATATTACTTCTTTTTTTTTTTTTCCCCCAGGAAGCTCAAGTTAATTATCATAATGTAATTAATAGCATTCAGACAATGTTTATATTACACTTTTTCAATTTTTTCAATAAAAAAATATAATCCATCTGGAATCTTACAATAATAATCTAGAAATASAATAAAAGAATGCAATGCTGAGATATGAGGTGTTTTGCTTAAAAAAAGAGATTATTTTTAGTTATGTCACAAAAAATAATTAGATTTACGTTTGCTGATGCAAATAAATCTGTATTTGGATACATAATGAACTGTGGATCAGAGTTCATCTACTTAACACTGATAGCAATCCTCACACTCACAGTGTTGTTCAGTTCAACTTGATTAAAAGCACTCTTTGAAAWGCCTGAATTTCCTTTCCCTTAAGAAGTGAATAATCATCTCTGATCTAAGATCTTAGTCTGGCACTGAAGACTGTACCCTCTTTTCCCTCTACGTCCGTGCTGCGCCTCCACAAAACATCCGTGGATGTTTTTGCATGCACGAATCCAGAGAACCTTGAGCTCTTCCACTTGCAGAATCCACCTGGCAGCAGAACCACCTCGCTACAGGCCTTTAGCTGTGACCTAATRAACTGGTAAGATAGCAAGAAAACACACACAAGTACATAAATATATGCAGTATAATATCCTGAAAAAAGTATAAGATACCTTTCTTCCATGAGGTGAATCCATTTGTAAGATTAATATAGTTTGCAGTTGTGCCCATTCTGTAAATTTATACATCTTCAATAAGCAGAAAGTGTATTAGAAGATAGGCCCTGGAGAGAGAGATTGTGTCAAAGCTTAGAACATAGTCCAACATAGAATATATATATAATCTTAGATTATAGTCTAATATTGTCTATTCTGAAGATTAGAATRTAGTCTAAGAAATGTTTGCGATGGATACCATTTTCCTCAGGAATTCAGGATGGGTATATTTCCCCAGGACTAGAATATGCAATAGGAACCTTGGATGGCCTAAATGCTATCAGTATTATTATAATTACTATGTATTTTTATATAGCTTTAAACAAGTTATTGCTTGAAGTTTGCAGACTGAAGCAGTTCTAAAGACTTTTTTTTTGTTCTATTATGAGGATATCCTATTTATGGATGAAAATATGTTTCCAAACAAAGAAGATTAGTTCATATATAATTAACAATGTCTCTTACATCATTACTAGGGAGCTGATCCACCTAGACCTGGAAGAAGTATTATTCATTGCTTTTAAAGCATATTTAATACAGCCTATAAAAATCAAAGTCATCCCTTACCCAAATTCTATGTCACCTGAAAGATAGCGAGACTAGTTTCAAGAATAYTTAGCCATTTCATTTTCACTCTTTGTCTAAAACAACACATGCTGTTACAAGCTAAAACACCAAGGATTTCAGGATAGGGAACATGAAGTAGAAGAAAAAAAAATAAATGCAATCTATGAATAACCTCTCAATAACCTATGATTAGCAATGAGAGTGTATATTTTTAAATAACATATCTTTTATCTTTTATTGCATTTGCTTTTTCTTATCTCTTGTCTTCTTGGTTAACATACCATACAATGTTTGATACACGGGAAAAAGGGATTTTAGCAGTAAGGAAGAACAAGATTTTCTTTGAGCTTAGAGACACAGACATCATCATAAGCTGGCTCCCTGGAGAGGATCCACATAACAATTTTGTAGGAAGTCTTGGAATTATTTTCAGAAAAAAATAATGTCTAACATCATCATCCCTCAAAGAAATATTTTGATAGAAGATGAGAAAGATTACAGCAATAAAATCACAAAGGTGTCATGTTCACAGGTAACAAAGGGAAACAGGAGCAAATGTTGATTCTTGAATATGCATACATATATATTCTTGTATATCTATTCAGAGATAGTAGAAGAAAAATTGGGAATGCTTAATAGGTTTATATTCTTTTAACGATACTTTTTAAAAGAAATCTTTCTTTTTTAATTCCTTGGGTTGAATAGAGGGATGGGCTTCAAACCGAAGTGGGATGAGGTGACCAGGTCCAGCTCCTGATGATTCTATCTGCACTTCAGTCTTCTGGTTTGTGAGCAGGCCTGGCTGCGGAGGCCTGACGTTGTCTATATTTGCTTTGTGATCTGGCAGCAAAAATTTGGGGGACAAAATTTTTAAGTCCAAAGTGCTGGTCCTAGGCTGCCTCTACACACTCTTCCTCATGGAAGCCCTAAGGTTCCCTGACTTTGGTACTTGCCTGGTAGCAGCTGAAATTACATGTTTGGACAATGGAATTTGGGAAGCCGGTTCCAAAATCCCAGCTTTTGTATTCACCTATTGTGTCCTTTCTCTGCAGCAGGCATTTCCTGCACTTGTCTACCCTGATATTACCAGGGGGAGGGGAGATGAAAATCTTGTATATTCTCCCTAATCCTATCGCACACTAAATCACCTCATTCATACCGACTCCACCAATGCTATTTTCCCCATTTCCTGAGTTACTTAGCAACAACCATCCCTCCCTTTTCCACTCCCCTGATCCATCCTTTTTTTCCTTCCCCTCTGCAATCAGGGTTTCCAGACGGTTTAGAAAAATGAATATGCTCAGCRGCGTAGGGCAAGCTTTTCCTTCCAACCTCCCTTTTTATGCCTGCCAATTCCTCCTCGCTCCCCAAACGAAAACCCAGGCTGCCTGCATATGTGTAATCAAAGGTTAAAAAGCACCCCGGCTGACACCACGCATGTGTTAATCTGTGCTGCAGCAGAGTGCATCATTTCCACTTTGACCTCAGAGTTAATCTGCATTCAGGCAGAGGCTCCATTGCTTTATTCTTTCTTTTCTTTTTCCTSTCGTTTACTCCTTCTCCCGGTGCATCGGATTCTGTTGCATGCGTGAGTGATCCTGTAAACCTGTGCATGTGTGTGCRTTGCTCCTTCCCTTCGCCGCTTTTATTCCGTGAGCGTGTGGATGTGTCTTTTTTTTTTTTTTTTTTTCCCTCCCCGTTATATTATTCCTCTCCATCTGGATGCTGCTGCCTGCTGCCTGAGCTGACATTTTTTGATTATATCTGCAAAGGGCTTGTGCGGATCTAATTTCTGCCCCCCCTGCATATTAATTCCCGCAGCTGGGCGCAATGTATCATCCCACTGACGGGACCTGCTAGGGAGGGGGGGAGAACCACTACCAAAAAAAAAAAAAAATTAAGAAGGGGACGGATCCATCTGCAACCAAGAGGAAAGGGGAAAAAAAAAGAGGGGGGGAGAAAAACAGAGATGATTCCTCTAAATCCAACAAGCCTGGGGAGCCCTGCACTCTTGAATCCTGCATTTTCTCTCAAAATGATGGTGCGGGCGCTTGTGCTGCTCTCCCTCATCCAGCGGTAAGATGCGCTTTCTGATTCTGTTTGCTGGGGGGAAGAGGGAGGGCTGGGGGGGTGAAGATGCCGTTTGCAAATTCGCGGCGCTGGAGCGGGGATGCCGAGGGCTGGGATAGCGGCACTGGGCTCTTCGCGCGCCGGCAGCCGCCCGGGCCGGGCTGCACGTCCATGGCCGCTGCTGCTGCGAGGCGGGCAGGGAGGGCTGGCGGCAGCCGTGGGGATGCTGGCGGTTTCATGGAATTTGGAGCCACGTTACGGAAGGTTCCTCGCCGCGTTACGGCCGGCCCTGGGGCCCGGCGGCTCTGCGGGCAGCGCTCGCCTCCGCCGCGGCAGCCCCAYCATGGCTGTGCCGGGCTCTGGAATTTAGGACCAAGGACAGGGATGCACGGCCCCTGCACAGCTCAGGGCCGCCGGCATTTCCCACGCGCAAAGCGCTTTTGGCGCCCATGGAACAAGGCAGGGCAGATATGGAGTGCTTGCTGATCGTGGAGTCGGTCATGTCAGAGAATATGCACGGCGTCTATCCACACATTCTGCTGGATGTGAAACCCTGCACGCCTGCTACGCGTGCTGTACGCAGACATGCAAGTGGGTAAAGACCTTAGCGGCGGAGGAAGGAGTTTATGTGCAGATGGGCAGAAAGTGTGTGCTGGGGGAGAGCTGCTGCTGCAGCGCGCCGCGGAGCCGCCGTTCCGCACCCCTCTCTGCACTGAGCATCTCCCGGGTTAGGGAGCAAAGAAATTCTGCATTGTAAAGTACCTGGCCTTGAACGCGGCACAGCCTCTTCCTGCCAGACGCACAAGCTCCGCTGCCAGCGATACACTGAAGTTCGTGCCCACTCCCCCTTCGGTTGCTATTCATGGTCTCTCCAGGCAGGATCCTTGACCTTTTCTTCTCCCTCCTAGCCCCTGAGGAACTACCACAGCAAAAAGGGTTTGTTTGCTTTTTAGCTGGTCTGCTTAAGAAAAATCACACCATGTAGTTGTGCAGGTAGGATCTTGTTTCTAAGCAAATTAGAAGGCCAAAACTATTAGTTAGGGAAAAAAGTTGATTTGTTTCTTCTCACACACACTCACACACACACACACAAGAAAGAAGCTTGGGTGAAGAACTCATGTGAAAGGACATGAAAAATGGTTAAAAAAGGAGTAGAAAGTGAGATAAAACTTGGAGAACCTACAAGCAGGAACACTTGATATCTGGAGTAAGGCAGCTGCAAGGTTTCTCAGATTTTGTAAGAATTATTTACAAACACTCTGAATAGAGCAACAGAAAATGAACTTTTAGAGGATTTCAAGCAAATGACCTGCATAAKGTGGAAGTCTCCAGCTGAGGATAGGGCACCGTAGTTTATACCGTTCCCTGTGTGTGTCTCTTCTTTCCCCTTGCAAAGTGTGTTGTTTACACAAACACACTCATATCTCAGATTATCTAACCATAATACTTCCTCTATAATAATCTCCAATAGTTATTTTAACCTATGTTTTTCTTTTCTGTCATCTTGCATATAAACATAGCCAGGAAGGAAATTCCCAAAACTCTTTCATGAGCTTTGAAAGAAAACTCTTTGTAATGGAAATTAATGTTTTATCTCAGTAAAGATTGTGGTTTCTGTTCATAACTATCTGATAGGCAAGATGGTTCCCTCTGACACCTTTCTGACCTCATATTCTAAGGAAGTACTATACAGAGAAGCTATAGTAAACAGATAGTGTTAAAGAGGAAAAAATCTTAGTGCTATATGAAAATATTTGCAGTTCATCAACATAAAAAAAGGATTTTAGTTCTAATAACTAGGACAACTTTCTCCTGTTGTGGATCAAGTCTTAAAACTTTGTTTTGGAAACTCTTTGACAGMGACAAAAGTTGATCGTAGCTCCTGTTTATTTATAAGCAGAATGAAARCTCGTCTTTGTTAAAAACTTAGCAACACTTCAGAGGGAGGGGAACATCCTTTCCTGATGTATCACTTGTTTAACACTTTCAAATTCCTAGAGGCCAACATGACCTAACATTCATACTCCGTGCTCTGCATGTGAAATAACACACAACAGAGTATGCAGAAAAGTTTAAGTAGTTGCAATATTTGGCCAAGTAATAGAACTGATAAAAATTAATTTCTAATACTTTGCAGATTTTTTTTCGATATTGAAACAAACGAGTTATTTCCTGCAGAAGTCAGTTGTTGTACTTCACTGACCTTTGAAAATACTAGAGGAAAACAAAAGGAAAGTTAGGGTATCATTCCAGCCTCACTGAAAGCAACTCTAATTCTAGCACTGACTTCAGCCAACCATGATTTCACTCAATTTGGAATATGTTGTCCTACATCATTGCAATATTTTACTTTTAAAATAATTTAATTACATGAACAGCTCATGGACAACTGTGAGCATTAAGATGTGTTTTTGCCCAGTATATTTCTGTACTGCTTTGCAAATGTCCTGCCTAAAGCTCCCCTGTCAACTTCTTACTCCACTTTACCTGTGAAGCAGCACTGCAACAACAATGCTTTCATCAATACAGGGCTTAATTGGGAGTAATTAAACTTATTTAACTTATAACTGAAAAATAATGTTTTACATTAATAGAGCTCTTTGACCAGCAAAGTTTCTGACAGACTTAAAGYTATAATCTCAGCATTGTTTACATGTAGATGTTATTTGATATTTTTGCATAGTCCTTAGGCCAAAAAAAMCATCATCAAAAATCATGAACAGAGTAATGTCTGGCCATGAAATGTTGGATTGTGACTACTYCAATTAGTTGCTTGTAAGTATCCAAGTAGTCATATGGAAAGATTTTCATGCTGCAGCTAGATATCTAAAATGGAAAACTGGCAAGACCTAGCTTAAAAAAGCACAAATCCTAGCTCAAAAAACTCATATTAACACCAAAATACTCTTGTACTCATGTAAATATGTCTATTTTTACTAGCAGAGTTAATCAATATATGAGTAAATAAAAAGGTTTGCTCCTGTAGAGCACTGGCAGTGTGAACTAGGCTTTTGCACTGTATGGTAAGAGATGTAATAATAATGATTTAAAGGGTCATGAATATCCCTGAAGAGTCATTCAGAATTACTGTAAAGGTTGCTAGCATCTGTTTGGTGTTAAATCTGCAGCTGCAGTTACTTGTACAATAGCTTCCGATACCTTCACATCCTGTATATCACATATAAAGTCAGAGGTCCCATAGAAGTCACCCGGAGCACTGCTAGAATAAGATGTTTCTCAGCAGAAGATTTTTCACATAACAAGGAATAGATTTATGTAAACCAAACCTCRAGACAGATGATGTCAATCTATGCACTCTCTGACTATCACTATTGTTATTGTCTATGCTACTATAAAACTGAACACTTCATGTTAACCAGCTCAGATACTCCAGAGTTTGTTTCCGCAGAGCTGAAAGCTGTCTAGGAGCAGGATAGTCACGCTGCATGAGCATTTCAGGAGTGGCATGAAGGCAAAGCTGCCTTTGAGATGTCCCTTGTCGTGCTGCACTGCTGACTGACATCAAGTACCAGCTTTCATGCTGGGGTACCAGCTCATTCAAAGGAGGAACCTGAAGCAACCATCCCTGTGGTAGAAAGGCTACCAAATACAATGTTCTAAACCAACAACCAGTCAAACAATTAATAAAAAACTAAAATTTGCACTATCTTGTTATTAACAACATGAATGTAAAAGATTACAGACACTGATTCCCTGCAGGAAAGTGTGTACGTTTAGAAATGTGACCTTAACTTTTTTTTTTTTTTTTTTTTTACCATTTGGTTTAACGACTACAAAACTTAGCCATAACTTGCACACCAAAATTCACATATTGCAAACCACTGTAGTTAATACACCAAGCGATGTTAGAAAGTCCTTCAGAAGAGGTTGACTCTGAAAATCTGAGTAAGCCTAACATACGATTTTATCCTTAACTATGGGAAAAGATAGCATCAGAAATTATTCTTTTAAACTAGTATTTTCCATATGATTCATATTCCACGACCTTACAAATCATGCTTTTGGGTGTGAAGCTTAAAGAGAAAAATGTTGTTGATTTGGATTAGCGTTGCCTTCTTTTCCTCTTTATGCTCCATTTGCTCGGTGAGGTATGTCAAGATACTCTACAAAAGTCACTTAAAAATTATACTTTAAATCCTATATACTTCAGCAATGACTACCACTTCCTCAAAAAAAGAACTGAATGAAGGACTCAAGTCAAAACCYAGCACCGTCCTGCACCATGGACAGGTATGAGCCCAGTTGAAGCTTGCTCAGTACCCTGCAGCTTCTCTATCATTATGTTCAGACACTCAAACAGTAAAGCCTCATATGCTCCTAGATACAAAGACTGTATTGGAGTACTAGTTTGTTTACTCATCTGATTATTTTTGCAAGCAATCAAGAGAATGGCAAGAGGCCACTCTGATTCTCTGCTTCACTGCTGGAGTCTGAACCTGGTGGCCTTGCCTGCAGCCAGGCATGCACAGAGGAGCAGAGAGACTGTGAAAACAACAGAATATGACACTACTGAAGGGCTGACTCCATTTGAAAACGCGTTTAGAAAATATACATATAAAATAAATAGCTAAGGAAGGGATTTTGGAACTGAAGCTTTTTAAAATGTTCGTGCTTCCTCACTGCTCTAGTGCTGTACGTGTTTCATGGACATTTGTTGTACCATAAACTCCCTTAAACAGAGATTTGACTGTCCATTTTCCCAATGATGTCTACTAAGAAATCAATGCCCTGCCCTATAGGTACTACTGAAAATCTCAGGAGTCATAGGAACCTCCTCAAATGATGGCCCTAACTTCATCCCCTGCTTGGCTCGCTGAATTCAGCCAGTTGTTGACATAAAAACCAGGACCTACCCAATACCATTTCTTATAGGTAGTTGTGTGTTCCTATGTAAGAACTGGGAAATAACCCAAAGTTAGATTATAACTCAGTAAGAACCCTCAGAAAGTGTTTCTTACACTGCATAATGCCTTACTCTTCGCAAA